AGGTTTGGCTGTATATACCTTACTAACCATGACAACATTGTTCAACTAAATCTCTTTAAAGAAGATAAACAGAATTATGTATCTTAATATAATCTACTTGTACAGTCTCATTCAAATTAGATAAAACGGTAGGAGGAGTAGTGCTTTGTAAGAACAATTTTGATTCCACACTATGTAATGAAGCTATCACAATAAGTTTCCATTGCTCTTGCCAAGTGGGTCTTGAAAAGTTTTTATTTCTTATATGTTCCAATGTAAAACTTTAATTGCCTCTTGTGGCCCCACTCTATCCCTGGGGGTCATGTGTGGACAAATTAAATCTACACTATGTTATGAAGCTTTCAAAAAAATTAAACTCTTCTGACTCAGTGGTTCTTGAGAATAAGACTTTTGAAATTTTCAGTCATCTTATATCTCCTTAAAATGAGCTTTACCCTTATTTGAACAAACTTAAATCCCCTTTACCCAAGGAAACATTTAGCCGATTTTATTTTCACTGGTCCAGCAGTTCTTGAGAAGATAATATTGTAAAAATTTTACGTCAAAGACAACAACAACAACAGAGATTTTAATCAGAATTGAAAGCTTATTTGATCCGTCAGATCAAATGAACTAAAAATAAAGGCTGGTGTTGGTGGTGGTGGTGGGGGGGGGGGGGGTGGTGCAACACTTGCTTAACAAAATACTCAATATAAAGCTGTATTTTGTAATGGATTTAAGCCATGAACTCAGTTGTAGTTTTCTTTGTGACCTGGATGGGAGGAAAAATGATCAAGAAATTCATTTGCAGAGGTTTTCTATAAACTTGACCACCATCCTAGAAAATAAATGTTTGATCCAGGTAGGGCAAACGGGAGAAAAAATAAACCCTGGACAAGGATTGTACAAAAAGAGTTTACTTTGACCTTTCATCTATTAAAATAAGAAAGAACGTTTGCTCTAGACAAGTATATGTTGATGCAAAGAGATTTTCTGACCTTCACCTTTCATCAAGAAAATGAATCAATCTCACCGCAAACCCTCTTACCGAGAGGACTCTATGTATAAAGTATGAACGCAAAAGAGCCAAGCGGGGTGAAAATATGCTCTGAACAAGGATTATACACAATGAGGTTTTCTTTACCTTGACCTTTGTTTGAAAAAAATGGCATTGAACACCCTCCGTCCAAGGGTACTCTATGAGTAAAGTTTGAGCCAGGTAAGGCCAAGGGGAGAGAAGACATACTCTGAACAAATTTTTCTTATGCAAAGCTATTTTATGACTTTGATCTTTCATCTAGAAAATTGATTCAAGGTCACTGCATAAACTCTACCCAAGGACACTCTATTGTTTGAAAGAGTTATTATCAGCTATTATCAACCTTGCCTTTGAATAGTGCATTCAACCATGACTGAGGCAAAATAGGGCTCTCGTTTCCCACTGTCACATTTGGGTTGAAGGGGTACCATTAAGTAGTTTTTAACGTTAACGTTTGGGACCAAATTGTTAGCATTTTTTTTCTTTGGCTTCTTTGGATAACATTTAAAATAGCACTGCTATGGGTAGGTATTCTTATTTAGTATATCTTGTCAACTTTTTGAGGGATCTCCAGCTCTCTAGCCTTGGAAGGGACCAGTAGACTAAACCAAACGTTCTTTTACATTGCATTGTGAGATGAAGTTAAAAAAAACTACTACCTCCCTTACCTTTGAAGTGTAAAAACAACAAAGTTCAGGTTAGCTTACTGACCTTTTTTCTTCCCAGGCACCCTTCAAAAACCTGGCAAGTGGTTCTCCCTAAGGTCCTTAACCTTTCACTAGTGTTACTTTGTTCTAGTAGCCAAAGATGCTTTCAAAATGAATGCTTGAAAAATGTCCCCCGCCCTTGGCACCACTTGGTGGTACCACTACAGCCCCATTTTGATAGCGGGAAATGATAGTCCTAGGGGCCCCCTACCTTGCCCCAGTAATGATTTGAAGCACACTTCAAAGATAAGGGGTATAATAGCTGACCTTTAACCAGAAGTTAAAACACAAAGTGAAAAACAACAAAGTTCAGGTTACCTTACTGGCCCCTTCCTTTCCCAGGGACCCTTCAAAAACCTGGCAAGTGGTTCTCCCTAAGGTCCTTAACCTTTCACTAGTGTTACTTTGTTCTAGTAGCCAAAGATGCTTTCAAAATGAATGCTTGAAATATGTCCCCCACCTATGGCACCACTTGGTGGTACCACTACAGCAACATTCTGATAGCGGGAAATGATAGTCCTAGGGGACCTCTACCTTGCCCTAGTAATGATTTGAAGCACACTTCAAAGATAAGGGGTATAATAGCTGACCTTTATCCGTATATTAAAACATAAAGTGAAAAACAACAAAGTTCAGGTTAGCTTACTGGCCCTTTTTCTTCAACAGGACCCTTCGAAAACCTGGCAAGAGGTTCTCCCTAAGGTCCTTAACCTTTCACTAGTGTTACTTTGTTCTAGTAGCCAAAGATGCATTCAAAATGAATGCTAGAAATACGTGCCCCACCCATGGCACCACTTGGTGGTACCACTACAGCAACATTCTGATAGCAGGAAATGATAGTCCTAGGGGCCCTCTACCTTGCCCCAGTAGTGATTTGAAGCACACTTCAAAGATAAGGGTGATAATTGCTGACCTTTTTACCCGTACATTAAAACACAAAGTGAAAAACAACGAAGTTCAGGTTAGCTAACTGGCCCCTTCTTTTCCCAGGGACACTTCCAAAACCTGGCAAGTGGTTCTCCCTAAGGTCCTTAACCTTTCACTAGTGTTACTTTGTTCTAGTAGGCAAAGATGCATTCAAAATGAATGATTGAAATACGTGCCCCTCCCATGGCACCACTAGGTGGTACCACTACAGCAACATTCTGATAGCAGGAAATGATAGTACTAGGGGCCCTCTACCTTGCCCCAGTAATGATTTGAAGCACACTTCAAAGATGGGGTGTAATCGGTGTCCCTTAACCCGTATTTTAAAACACAAAGTGAAAAACAACAAAGTTCAGGTTAGCTAACTGGCACTTTTTCTTCAACAGGACCCTTCGAAAACCTGGCAAGTGGTTCTCCCTAAGGTCCTTAACCTTTCACTAGTGTTACTTTGTTCTAGTAGGCAAAGAATCATTCAAAATGAATGATTGAAATACGTGCCCCTCCCATGGCACCACTAGGTAGTACCACTACAGCCCCATTCTGATAGCGGGAAATGATAGTCCTAGGGGCCCTCTACCTTGCCCCAGTAATGATTTGAAGCACACTTCAAAGATAAGGGGTGTAATCGCTGTCCCTTAACCCGTATTTTAAAACAAAAAGTGAAAAACAACAAAGTTCAGGTTAGCTTACTGGCCCTTTTTCTTCAACAGGACCCTTCGGAAACCTGGCAAGTGGTTCTCCCTAAGGTCCTTAACCTTTCACTAGTGTTACTTTGTTCTAGTAGCCAAAGATGCTTTCAAAATGAATGCTTGAAATACGTGCCCCACCCATTTGGTGGTATCACTACAGCAACATTCTGATAGCGGGAAATGATAGTCCTAGGGGCCCTCTACCTTGCCCCAGTAATGATTTGAAGCACACTTCAAAGATAAAGGGTATAATAGCTGACCTTTAACCCGTATATTAAAACACAATGTGAAAAACAACAAAGTTCAGGTTAGCTTACTGACCCTTTTTCTTCCCCGGGACCCTTCAAAAACCTGGCAAGTGATTCTCCCTAAGGTCCTTAACCTTTCACTAGTGTTACTTTGTTCTAGTAGCCAAAGATGCTTTCAAAATGAATGCTTGAAATACGTGCCCCACCCATGGCACCACTAGGTGATACCACTACAGCATCATTCTGATAGCGGGAAATGATAGTCCTAGGGGCCCTCTACCTTGCCCCAGTAATGATTTGAAGCACACTTCAAAGATAAGGGGTATAACATCTGACTTTTAATCCGTATATCAATAGACAAAGTGAAAAACAACAAAGTTCAGGTTACCTAACTGGCCTTTTATAGTCATTGGAACCTGTCAAAAAGTTGACAAAGGATACTCCCTAAGGCCCTTAAGTTTTTTCCAGTTTAGTGTTAGTTTGTTCTAGTGGTCAATGATGGTTGAAAAATGAAAGCATTAAAGATGTTCCCCACCGTTGGCACCACTTGGTGGTGCCGTTACAGCCTCAAACCGATTGTGGGAAAGATAGTCCTAGAAATCTTCTATCTTGTAATGATTTAAAGCACACTTATAAGATAAGGGGTATAATAGCTGCTTGAAATATGTAACCCGCCCTTGGCACCACTTGGTGGTACCACTTCAGCCTAAATTTTATGGCCGTATATAATAGCCCTGTGGACCCTTTTACCTTGAGCCAGTAATTGCTCGAAGCACACTTCAAGGATCATAACTTAAAATAGATTAAATTACCTTCAAACCCTTATCAATGTAAATATTAGGAGTAAGCAAATTTCAGGTTAGCCTTTTGGCACCATTATGTTCCTGAGACCCGTAAAAGAGCCTAAAAGAGATTCTCCCGGAAGTACTTAACGTATTTCCAATGCTGTTTTATTCTTAAGCGGTCAAAGATGGTGACATTTCCTTCTTTTTGTTTGTTTGTTTGTTGTGAAACCGCATAATTTTCCTTATGCAGGTGAGCTTAACTGCCTCCAAGTGTTTGAATTATTAATTAATAATTAAGTGTTGCATTAATTATCTAATTATTAATTATAAATTGTCGAAAATGAGGCATTAAACAGTATTGCGTCAGAGTACTCTCAGTCCTTTGATGAATTTCCTTAGTGGCTGCTAGCTTCTACGGGCTTAATGGCTGCTGTTATTGGCTGCTAGCTTCAGTCTAGTTAATTAAACTGCATGTGTCCCGGAATCATTTGAGACTTTCACAAAGAAATGTATAGAACAGCTTTTTCTGCAATAATATTTAATTTGTTTTCAGTTTTATATTACATATAAGGAGAAAGGTCATTGCCTTACTTTAATAAACTCTCTTGTTTTCTCAAATTTTTAAGCTAAAAGAATGTGTCTGCTTTGAAGGCCCCGTTTTTGCGGAGACTATTCCATCAAATCAATGCAATAGTTTATGTTATGATGTTGGAGATGAAGGGGGCATTAAATTTTTAGAATGTGGAGGACCAAATGCTTATACTCTATATACTTCAGGTACTTCAACTTAATTTCTTTCCCTTCCATCTAACAATCTTTACACTACATGAATTTGTATATTTGTTAATTTTTTAACATTAATTTTTTTAAAAAATATACACCATCTTTTACTATTTCTTTGCGTGAGATTATGCTCAATTTTTAATTAGTAAAATTTTCATTAATGCAACCCCCCCCCCCTTTCTTAGGTTAATAGAGTGAAATCTATCTAAACCGACTTGCAGTCGGAGACAAATTTTGTCTCGGAATAGACAAGTTGTCGAAAAACACAGTGTATAAAGCATGGAAAATAGTAAAATGAGAATGACAAGAAAGGTCGGAATTCACAGTGAATTCCACAGGTCTCGGATTAGACGTTTTCCTCTGCATAAAGTTCATTAACAAAATATTTGTAAAGTTTGTTTCTATGGTTACTGTTACTATGCTTTGCAACAAACATAAGGTTGACTACACATTGAATCACTATGACACGTAAGATATCTTTAATAATTTGCATTTTCAATTACGTCCAACTTAATTTAGACGAATTCTTAATTTGTATTTAGCATCCTTGTAACGAGCTTTTGACAAGAACGTCACCGCATGGCGCAGTGTTTTGAGTTTTTGCTATAGAGTCGCAGAGTAAGGAATTGATTCTTTACAGGATGAAGCTCTGCCATTCAGTTATCTGAAAGGTGACTTCAAGTCTACTGAAAGGTAGAGATCTGGTTTTCAGTGACCTTTCCAGACCTTTCAGTGACATTTCAGTTGACTGAATGGTGTAAAAGCCGAGTACAGGTCTAAATGTGCAGCCCTCCACCGGCAAGTGGTCCGTCTCAATATATATGAGTGAAAAATTCTAGAAGGAACGTTAAAGAAACAAACTAAGAAACGACCAAACAGGTAAGAGACCCATGGGCCAAATTGCTCACCTGAGTTACTATGGTCCTAGTGTTCTCCATCAGCAGATTTTTACCCTTCATATTCCTAGGTAAAACTTTGTTCACATATTTTGGACTTACCATATCAAATGTAAATATGCAATACCCGAGGATATTTCAAAATAAATATAACTAACAATTGCTTAATTACTCTCGAGTAAAAGACTTTAAAAAAATCCTATAAATTCCTTGTAAATTTTAATCTTTTTTAGTGTCAGAATCTTAACAAAGCTTGGATATTCACAACCTTAGGATGCGTACATGAACTTATGACTATGATATTATAATGTTTTCTGTTCTTCAGGAGTTTAAAAGATTCTTTCATTATACAATGTATTCCTGTATGAAACTCTGATCGTCCATTGTGGCCCAAGTCTTCCCCCAGAGGTCATGATTGAACAAACTTAAATTTTCACAAACTGAGGATGTTTTCATATTAATATGACTTATCATGGCTTTTCTTGAAAGGAATATTTTTTTCAGATTTTTCGGACTTATTCCAATTGTGTCTCCTGCCTAGACCCGATTCTCATGATTTGTCATGATGCTAAACTATGTATTTAAGCTTTCTTTAAGCATACTTTCTTGCCTATAGTGGTTATTGAAAAGTTTTTTTTTCAAAAAATACCATTAAATTTTCAATAATATTTAATAATCTTCTCTTGAAAGAAAAAGTGACCCTTCATTTGAACGATATCAGATTGTCCACTCACTCGAAGATGCTTTGTGAAAAGTTTGTTTGAAATTGGCCTGGTTGTTCTTGAGAATAAGTAAAAAATGTGAAAAGTTTACAGACGACATACAAACGTCTGACAAACTTCGATCGAAAAAGCTCATGATCACTTGAGCCCTAGGATCCTGTGAGCAGAAATGTTTTGTTCTCAAATAACAATTTTACAAATGTACAAAATAATATTTCTTTCGATTTTTATAGAAGACGACAACGTTAAAAGAAGAACAGCTTGTCTTGCAGTAAACTGTGGTGCAGTGAAGAAGTTTTCAAATTCTTCTAATTGTTCAGAGTCATACTTTGGAGCCTGCGTCTATAAAGGTATATTTCATTTTCATGACTTAAAAATAAGCATGAAACGTTAAATATTGGAATTAAAGAATTAAAGGTTACAAAGGTTACGTTTGAGCACATAATCCTCTCTCTCTCTCTCTCTCTCTCTCTCTCTCTCTCTCTCTCTCTCTATATATATATATATATATATATATATATATGTATATATATATATATGCACACAAATTTCGGTGATAAGAAATTGATATTTCACATCAAAGGGACTTCCCTGGGAGGAAGTTTTACTGTATGTTTTACATCTTCCTCATGCATAGCTCTGATCCTTCGACGTATTTGGCTCCAGTCTTCGGCACTTTTTTCAGCTCTTCAACGTCTTTTTTTATTTAAATATTTTTGATTTCCAACGTTTCGGCATGAGCATCACTGAAGAGACTTAATGTGCCGAAATGCGCATCTGTTGCATCAAAATTGGTACAGTATATAATTTACATTATTACTCCGGCCTGCATGTATGGAACGCCATAGCTGCCTGAAGGTCATTTTCATATTATATGAGGTGGGATAACCTTTATGTGAAGTGGTGAAGTCATTATATATAGTGGTAAAATCATTATATTCAATGAAAACTTTATTATATGCAGTGGTTTTATCATTATATACAGTGATAAAATCATTATATTCATTGAAAACTTTATTATATGCAGTGGTTTTATCATTATATACAGTGATAAAATCATTATTTTCATTGATAACTTTATTGTATGCAGTGGTTTTATCATTATATTCAGTGGCAATGTCATTATATGTAGTGGTTAAATAATGTAATGAAGTGATAATATCGATATATTATGTTGTAAAATCATTATATGCAGTGGTTTTTCTATTATATACATTACTGAAATCTTTCTGTGATGTGATGAATTCAATATATACAGTACAAACATAATTTGTGTGATAAAGCAATCGTTACATTATATGAAACCCACTGCATGTGGAGTGCCAAGTTAATTTCATTCAGTGCGACACCTTTACATGAAGTGAAAAATCTATTATGTGCAGTACTAACATCATTATATTATATAGTAAAATTATTATATATTTTCCTTAAATCATGCTTTGCAGTGGTAACATCTTTATATGAGGTGGTTAATTAATTATATGATGTTGTTAATTTATTATATGATGTGATCAAATCTTTATATGCATTAGTCGTTTCATGTTATGCAGTGGTAACTTCTTTATCATCATCTAAACTGGTCCTTTTATTTAAAAAAATGCGCGGAGTTCCAGTTTAAAGAGTGTTTGAAAATAGGAAACCCGGGCCGTGGCAAATTAAAAGCCGGGGCTATTCGAGATTTTTCTAATTTCTGATTCTATTATACAGCTTCCTGATTTGATCAACTGTGCTGAAATTTTAAGACTCATTTTTATAGGTTAATGTGTATTCGCTGTAAAAATTGCATTTAATTTTAAAATACTTAGTAATTTAGATTTTCTTGGCGATTGTTGATTTCCAAGTTCAGTGGTGGGTCCGGGAATCTTGAAAAGGGGGCCCGACAAGTTTTTGGTCGGGGTAGGTAGCCCACAGCCAAACCAAAAAACAATAGATTTATTAAATCTTGTGTATATTTTGGACACAAGGGGGGAGGGGGGTCCCATAGGCCCTCTCTGAATCCGCCCGTGAGGTTGGTAAATCGGGTAGGCAATCAAGTAGACATTTTACGTGTTTTGTTTGTTTTTTGTTTTTTGTTTGTTTGTTTGTTTGTTTTTTATTTATTTTTTTTTTTTGCCATATTTGACAGAAAGCTAATAAACTTTTAAATTATTCTGATGTTAAAAATTATTCATTCTTTGAAAGGCATCTTTTGAGTGAAATGACACGTTTAAGAAAAACCGGTTCACATAGGCGTCGGAACCGGGGGGGGGGGGGGCTATTACCCCCCCCCTTTTTTTTTTTACAAAGGTAGACATAATATAGGCATTGAAAATTCGGGCGTAGGTCTAGCCCCCCCCCCTCCCCACTTTCTACAGGCACGATTCATTGTAGTGAAAGAAGGGTAATTGGTAGTGTTTAAAAGAATTTGGTACTGAAAGATGTTCGACCCCCCCCCCCCTCCGAAATAGGATTTTCGGGTTTGGAGAGAGAACAATTTTCCTTTCTTTTTTTTTTTTGCTTGTCAAGTTTTTTTTCAGGTTTGATTTTTTTTTCTATTTCAATTAGCCACCCGACTATCAATTTCCTTCCGACGCCAATGGTTCATTAAAATCGGATTTGATCTCCCGGAAGTCAAACATAAAAAAATCCGAAATACTTGTTCATTATCTTCATGTCATTTGATAAAATATAAATTAATTAAAGTATTATCACATATACATGTAATTATAGGACTATTAATGCAAAGCCTTGTGTCAAACTTTAATCACGCGTAAGTTGCTTGGTTTAAGGATATCCGATCCTCAGCCTTGAAGGATAACTCTTAATTTTATCATTTTATTCAAAAAGGCTAAAATGGTTTTAATTTGGTTGTTTGTTTGCTGTTTAACGTCCCTCTCGAGAATTTTTCACTCATATGGAGACGCCACAATTTGCCAGTGGAGAGCTGCAAATTTTGTCCTATACTTGGCAATTACGGCCATTGAGCAGTGAGGGATTTTTTTCGTTCCAACACCTACTGTAGCACGGGACCTCGGTTTATGGCTTTATGCGGTCTCTTACGAAGGACCGGTCTCAACGTCCCACTGTCGGAATCGAACCCGTGATGTAAGGATTGACTCTTTATTCCGCGTCTCTTAGAGCAGACACTCTGATCACCGTGCCACGTTGGCGACGGCAAAGATGAAACTTGAAAATGAAATGTTTTCATGCAGCAATTTTTATTTTAAGCATTTCAATGTGATTTAAGGTTTTCTGAAGTCTTAGAAACAGTCTTATAAATAGTTGATATTAGTAATTTAACACCCCCCCCCCCGAAAAAAGTATTAAACAAATTACATATTTAACGTAATCCAGTTTCCTTCCATCTACTAACATATAGATACATGTACCAGTGCACATTTGCATATTATGAAATTAGAAATGATTTATGGTGTTTTGCACCAGGTTCTTCCCGGATGATCGGATCTGGTTTAATAATCCTTTTTTTAATGAAAATGTGTATTCAATCTGATTAAAATACAGATCTCTTCATAGCGCAAAGCGCTTTGCGCTATGAAGAGATCTGTATTTTAATCAGATTGATGTGTATTTTGCATAAAAATACCATTTTCAAATAAAGAAATAACTATCAAAAATAAATATTTTTTTTTTAGTTAAAATACAGTTTTTAACATCGGAATAATTTTTAAGTTTATTAGATTTTTATCAAATATGTCAAAAAAAACACACACACATAAAATATCGCCAACCCAGTCTACCCATTTTACCAACATGGAAATCAACAATCGCCAAAAAAAAAAAAAAAAAAAAAAAAAAAAAAAAAAATCTAAAATACTAAGTACTTATAGCACAATAGATAAAATATGAAATCAGAAAATTGAAACTGCCTACCAATTTTACTTGAAACCAAAAATCGTCAAGAAAATCTAAAATACCAAGTATTTAAATACAATTTTTACAGCGAAAACACATTAGCCTAAAAAAAAGAGTCTGGAAATTTTAAATCAGAAATTTGAAAAATCTCAAATAGTCCTGGCTTTTAATTTGCCACGGCCCGGGTTTCCTATTTTCAAACACTCTTTAAACTGGAACTCCGCGCATTTTTTAAAAATGTTTTTGCAAGAGGACCAGTTTAGATGATGATAAAGAAGTTACCACTGCATAACAGGAAACGACTAATGCATATAAAGAATTGACCACATCATATAACAAATTAACAACATCATATAATTAATTAACCACCTCATATAAAGATGTTACCACTGCAAAGTATGATTTTAGGAATATATATAATAATTTTACTATATAAAATAATGATGTTAGTACTGCACATAATAGATTTTTCACTTCATGTAAAGGTGTCGCACTGAATGAAATTAACTTGGCACTCCACATGCAGTGGGTTTCATATAATGTAATGATTGCTTTATCACACAAATTATGTTTGTACTGTATATATTGAATTCATCACATCACAGAAAGATTTCAGTAATGTATATAATGGAAAAACCACTGCATATAATGATTTTACAACATAATATATCGATATTATCACTTCATTACATTAATTAACCACTACATATAATGACATTGCCACTGAATATAATGATAAAACAACTGCATATAATAAAGTTATCAATGAATATAATGATTTTGTCACTGTATATAATGATTTTATCACTGTATATAATGATAAAACCACTGCATATAATAAAGTTTTCATTGAATATAATGATTTTACCACTATATATAATGACTTAACCACTTCACATAAAGGTTATACCACCTCATATAAAATGAAAATGACCTTCAGGCAGCTATGGCGTTCCATATGCATGGGTCGAGGTCTCTGCTGGTGGACTGTTAGTTCCCGAGGGTCTCTACAGTCCAGTAGCTAACTGTTCCGTACTAGCTTGAAAATACGGATATTTATTTAATTGCTGTGGTAAAATTTAGAAATTTATTTCAAAATTAAGGATCATCTCCATCATGCAAAGCTCTAATCCTTCGACGTCTTTGGCTCCAGTCCTTGGCACTTTTTTTCAGTTCTTCAAAATCTTTATTTAAGGATTTCGATGCATAATAGGCCTAGGGAACTTCCGGTAAAAATGCCGGCATTTGCCGATGACTTGTCGTAACGCTGTTTGAGTCTTACGAGTTATCGACCTTTCCCCGCAATTCAAAATGATTCCAGTTTTCTCTAAAATAAAAGTAAACATTATTTTGAGTGTGTAACCATGGGCAAAACAGATGTTTCTTGTTGGATAGGCATAGGTTGTGATCCCCATGTGCAAACTTTCTATCTCAATTTGAGGTTCATAACATAAAAGTAACAGAGAAAATTAAAAAAAAAAAAAAAAAAAAAAAAAAAAAAAAGCAAAAAGCAAGGAAAAGTTTTAGGACTAAATTATTTCTTTTATTTTTGTATTTAGATAGGGGACACACATCTGACTCTGGAGTGAGCATTTTTTTAAGTAAAAAAAAAAGTATATATTTTTTTTAGAGAAAAAAATGAGATGGGGAGGGGATATCGAAAAAGATATTTATAAATTGATTTCATTTTCTTGAACTTTGATTTACTCTGTATATATGAGGAACATAATATATTTTTTTTCAGCTTATATATAAGGACAAGATTATAAGATTTTTCTTCTCTCAGAATTGTTCATGTAATTGTAATTTTTTCTCAAGGTTAAAAGGTCAAGGACATTGTTAAACATATCATAATCAAAGTTGTTTTTAGCCCACTCTTTTTTTATAATTAAAAAAAATAGACATTGATGTCTTTATAAGAAATGCACACTAAGCATTGAGTACGGCATGTTAATTCGGAAATTAAACTAAACTAGTTTAGTTATGGTATAACACCCACTTTACTGTTTCCAAAAGCAAAGATATGAATTGAAAATCCGACATTTTTCAAATATGTATGGTCAGAACTTCATGTAACTTTGGAATTAATGCCTCCAAATTGTAAATGAGAAAATATAGTATTTTTTAATTCTTCAACATTGCAAGTTATACATTGAATACCTTAAATATTTTGGATTTCCAACGTTTCGGCATAAGCATCACTGAAGAGACATAATTTGTCGAAATTCGCATCTTGTGCATCAAAATTGGTACTGTATATGATTTACTGTATGCTCTTAAATTTCCTCTACTTCACATTTTATCTTCCAATAATTGGTAGTGAAATAAAAACAACATACTAGCATATATCTGCGATACGGAAATGTTGTTTTTTATTCTTGCCAATTTGCAAATGTATACTCGTAAATGCCAACCAGATACTCAAAATAAAGAATGTTGATCAATCTCAAAATCTGGTTTGCTTCGCCTAGCCGTCTATATATGAGACTGAACACAAAACAAAAATATGAAAACAAAACTCAATTATTAATATTGTCGTTATTTAAAAATGAAGAAGATGCTATTGCACTGAGACAAATCTCAAGATAATATTTGAAACATCCATTTAAAGAATAAATTTTGCCTCAACTTTTAATGTAGAACCGATATCATTTACGATCAAATATTCAGCTATTCTATAAAACTCTGTCATGTTTTTCAAATGAATTATGATGTTTCGTGTACATGAAAATTTCAGCCATTGAAGTCTTAGAATTGCGTAACTAATCCATATGAACTTTCTATTTACTCCTGTCTTCTATAGGGTACCTAGGATGCTTTCAAGACCAACCAAAGCGAACCTTATCAGGAAACTTTACACATTCCTTTTATTTGACTGTAGAATTCTGTAGGACGTATTGTACAGATTACCAATTCTACGGAGTTGAGGTTCGCATTTTTTGTTCACTTGAGTAATGATACATTTTTCAGTGAAGGGAAATACCTATTTCCAATAAGAATTGTAAGATTTCTTTTATTTATAGTATGGTGGAGAATGTTTCTGTGGGAACTTTTTTACATCCTTTATCAGAAAGCCTGAAGGAGAATGTAATATGACATGTCATTGGGACAACAGTCAAATCTGCGGCGGAGGCAACCGCATCAACATCTACAGTAATTTGAACTACGAGACAGGTATTTATCAAGAAAATCTGAAAATATGTGTTTAGTGTCATTCCCATATGCTAGCTTAAATGAAGTAATAAACAATATGGAACATTTATAAAGGAATGCAAAATAATCGTTTTCATCTTTCGTTGATGAATTTATTTTTTTCTCGAATTTATTCATTGAGAAAAAAAAAATCGATGAATAATTAATGAAACATTTTGGTAGAGAGTAATTCCCTCTTCCTATATCTTATTTTTTTTTTCTACAATGGATGTAGACGAGAAAAGAAATAGTTAAGTTCTGACGAAGAAATATCGGATTTAAAGTTTTACCTCCCCCCTAATGGACAGGAAGTAACTTTCCGATAAAATATATATTCTTATATTCTGAAGCATGACGTTATTTTCATGAATACTTGGAAACTTCTGCTTTATTGTAATCACCGGAGGTAAGCTCTACGAAGTCAAATTTATCAGTGCGTTCACATAACATTCAAAGAAAATAAAAAAAGAGTTTAGTTCCTCATCAGAAGGAGGAATGTTGCAACCACTATTGAAATATCGACCACTATTGAAATAATTATTTCAATAGTGGTTGAGAGTGCATTTCAAAACCAAACACAGGTTGTAACCACTATTGAAATAACGTTTACTATTGAAATAATTAATTCAATTTTGTTTGAGAGTGCATTTCAAAACCAAACGCAGGTTGCAATCACTGAAGAAATAGATTCACCATTGAAACAATGGTTTCAAAGGAGATTTTGAATGCATTTCACAACCTAAACCAAGTTGCAACCACTATTGAAATAATGTTCACAATTAAAATAAAGATTTTAATAGTGATTGAAGAAATGATTTCAATAGTGATTGAAATAATTATTTTGATAGTTACTGACAATGATTTTAATACCAAAACCATCTTGCAAGCCTTATTGAAATAACCCCACTACTGAAAAGAAATATATAAGGATGAAATATAAGAATGAAAATGAATTGTTCCTTACGTTTTCCAACATAATAAATTCATCTTCTGAGTTTAAAATATGATTTGTAAATTTATATTTTCCTTTCTTTTCTAGAAATTACCATTAATACACGGACATCTTTGATTTAACTGACTTACCTTAAATTCAAACAAAGTAATTTTATATTTTATATGCAAGCTTCCGCTAAATCTGGCCGACTCGGTGAAAACCAAAAGACAATCAATCAATATATGCAAGTTTTAAGTAATTTTGTTATATAAGGTTCATTTTTGTCATTAATTTGGAAAGGAAAGGATCATAAATACAGATTGTTGTAGAAATTAGAATATCTACATTAAAAAGAAGAAAGAAGACTGATATCTATGTGTACACACTTTCTGATGAAGATATTGTTATTTTTAATAAAAAGAATAAAACTAAATTCTCGCTTATATTGATGGGTTTGCCTACACTACAAATATGAATAATCCAACATCTACTCGTTAATACATTAAAAATCAAAACTTAAAGGGAAGGAATAAGCATTATTACAATAGTGGGTGTTATTTTAATAGTGGTCACACGTATAAAACAGCTATTGAAATAATGTCCGCTATTGAAATAATTACCTAGGGTATTTCATTAGTGATCGTTATTTCAAAAGTGGTTGCATTAATATGTCCGCTATTGAAATAATATCTACTATTGAAATATTTTTTTTTTCAATAATGGTCGTTATTGAAATAATGGTTGCAACAATGTACCCACTATTGAAACAACGAAAACTACTGAAAAAATTATTTCAATAGCGGTTTTATACGTGTAACCACTATCGAAATAACAACCCCTAATGTTATAACACTTATACTTAGTTTTCCCAATCACTCTTGAAATCGTTATTTCAATCACTATTGAAATCATTATTTCAATCACTATAATTGAAATCTTTATTTCAATAGTGTACATTGTTTCAATAGTGCTTGAAACCTGGTTTAGGTTTTGAAAAGCATTCTAAACTTCTATTGAAATATATGTTTCAATAGTAACGTTATTTCATTAGTGGTTGCAACCTGTGTTTGGTTTTGAAATAAACTTTCAACCACTATTAAAATAATTATTTCTATAGTAAACGTTATTTCAACAGTGGTTGCAACAGGAGTATATGTGACAATTTTGGATGATCACTTTATATTTGAATTTTCTTTGTGAAGCTCAATGCAAATGACTTGATTTCAGTATTCGACATTACATCAGAATCTATTGACATTTCAAAAGTATTGCAATGCAGGTTAAAGCATTAGAAGCATTATTAACATTTTAAGTGAAATGGGATACACTCAAGGTTACCTTTGTACTAATCACACCATTTCAATTTATAAAAAAAAAAATAGGTTGAAAAGAAATCGAATTCCAAAAATATGCAAAATGCTTTTCCTTTAAATTCTTAAATTGAATTTATGATTTCGTAAAACAAAGATTTCTAGTTATATGAAATAAGAACATGCAGCACTAATATCTTGATAACTGTATTTCCGATCTTTCAAAAACGTTTTACCTATTGTGGTTAGTCTCAGATTAAAATATACCCGTTTTTATTATTATTATTTATTCCTTTTTTCATTTAAACTTTATTTTGTGAAACACCAATACATGAATACTAATACATTAATACATAAATTACCCCAGAGATAAAAACGAACTGGATATCATCAATGCAGATTTGTAAAACCCGGTCCCCTCCGTCTTACTTGATTGGAAACGTCTCCCTAACTGATGCAACGATGGCCTGTAAACAACTGCATGGGACACAGAGAGGGCTATCCTGGCTAAGCATCGCAAAAGAAATGTATACTGGATATGATCGAGGTGAGCATGCTAATGAATACAATGTATATTTTCCTTAATTACTGATTAATGTATATTATTTTTAACTTTTGTAAGCAAGCATACAGAAGGATTTAGATTTTTCGTTTTATCATTCACTTGAGAAATAAACATTTTTAGTCAAATGTAGGAAAAAATACGAGAGAGAGAGAGAGAGAGGGAGAGAGAGAGATTTGTTGTTTAACGACCCTCTCGAGAATTTTTCACTCATATGGAGATGCCACCACTTCCTGGCGGAGGGCGACAAATTAAGACCTATACTCGGCACTCAGGGCCATATTGAGCAGTGAGGGATCTTATTTCCTGACAGAATCTACTACGACATGGGACCACAGTTAAAGGACCGGTCTCCACTTCCCGCAGTGGGATTCGAATCTCTGATGTAAGGATCAACTTTTCCCTCCCGATTGTAGAGCAAAAGCTCTAACCACTGCGCCATGCGGGCGATGAGAGAGAGAGAGAGAACGGGGGAGAGAAAGAGTGAAAGAGAGGTTGTGGTGGATAAGTCAAAGAAAATATTGGGTTGGCATGTGTAGAAATTATTGTAAGAATATCGGTAAGAACAATTTTGTGATATAGGTTAGAATTATGCATAACTGTATTATTCTTATTAACCTTATTTTTAGCATACCTGTTAAAAAAATAGATGCTGTCATAAGACAGTAAACCCGCACACAAGTGTTTGTCTCTAAACTCTTACTTCTACTTGAGTGATGGAGAATACACAATAGTTATTCTATACTTTTTACCTACATAAAATACCCGGTATATTCATGCATTAAATCGAGGGAAAAATACACAGGTGAGCATGTGGTCAATAGGCCTCTTGTGTTACTACACTGTATTTCAATAATAAACTCTATGTTTACCAGTCTGTTTAAGAGCTCTTTAAGAAAGATTCTTTTTGAAGGAATGTTTTTTCTGGGAAAAAAAAGTTTATGCTTGGAAGTGGACGAATCTGCTCATGTTGTTGCAAAACAGAAAATAAAACTTCAGTATGTGACAATTTTGATACAATTGAAAATTTTAGATGCCAATACAGTTTTTAAGAAATGGTATATAATGGGGGTTGGGATGGGGGAAATACTTTCTAAACCAACCTGGGTAACCCAAATTGACTTCGCCCAAATATACATTCCGAATACATGTACATTTGTTTTCCCATCATATTTACCTCGACCCTCTTTGAAAAAAATTCTAGATGACGTTTTTGCAACCTTCCAAAATTACAAGCACCCTTCCCAAATTACAGAAGTGGTACTAGTTTTACCATGCTCTTTGATTTCCACGTGGTGTTTATGATTGAATTATTTCATATTGGCAAGCTATTTAGGGGTGTTTATTAGAAACTATCATGTTTTGAATGGATTTAAATGGATTTATGGACTGACTAGCTGACAACAGAAAGTCATGCTCTACCATTAGTTACAGGTCATACATTCACTGTATGTCTGAGGGTGGAAAGAAAGATAACTCTTCATAGGAGAGTGAATAGAGGTATGTATCTCAAATGAAATCCTTAAACCAAATGTATAATCTTGTGTCATAAAACATAAAATGTTACATAAGTCATGACCCCTGAAGGTCATTCCCACCTGCTGAAACTGGAAATGGTCTAATATCTCAAATATTTAAGCTTTACTGAAAACCAGAAATACAATATATATATATATATATATATATATATATATATATATATATATATATATATATATATATATATATATATATATATATATATATATATATATTTATATATATAAAATCTTGTTTTCATCCCTGTGTCATGACACATTTACCAGTATAAAGGTCATAACCCCTGGAGTTCATCCATTCTCACTAAAACTGTAAACGGTCAAAATACCTCAAAAACAATTGAAAACAATAACTTTGGTAGCCATTAAATTCAATCCTTACAATATATTTGTAATGTTTGTTTTGTCAAATTATTGACAAATTTAATTTCAAGTTTCACAGACACAATTTCCTTGATTAATATAAATTACCAGCTGTATTTTTTGCTTACTTAAATGGGGGAAAATTCACTCAAATAAAGTTTCCAACAATTTTAATTTTGAGAATACCTGAATAAACAAATATTGTCATACAATGTAGTTTTCATATCAAACGACAGTTCGATCTATAGCTAACTAAAAAAGTGCCATAAATTTAGACTTCTAGAGATGGTTCTTAAAATTATGTATTCTTGCATTTTTATCAGGACCAATTTAGTTGTTAATGTAGGTATTGCTTTGAGGTCAGCCCCACCTTTTTTTTCAAAACTTGATTAAAAATCTTTGCCTGGTGTATATTTCTTCCTCCTCTTGACCCTATCTGGCCCAAACTTCACTCATGGATAGAGGGGTAAACAGGAACCTTGAACAAATTTTCTAAGCAAAGGTCAAGATAAAAAAAACTCCTTGTTTTGAGCAAACTTTCTCTCCCCTTTGCTTAGTTGGACTTAACTTCATGAATAGAGTGTCATTTGGTAAATGGTATACAGTGACCTTAAGCCTTTTTAGATGATTCAAGCTGAAAGGTCATGGTTAGAAAATCTCTTTGCATAAGAAATTATTGTTCAGAGTTTGTCTTATCTCCCCTTGATCTTACCTGGCTTAAACTTGAACAATAGAGTAGCCATGCGTTTAGGGTATTAAAGGATCTTGAACTAATTTTCTCAAGCAACAGTCAAGGACAAAAATACCTACTTATGTGAAAGCCTTGTCCAGAGAGCATATTTTCTCTCCCCTGACCTATTCTGGGCTCATACATTATTCATAGAGTGATCTTGGGTAGAGGGTGTGCGTTGACTTTGAACCAATTTTCTAGATGAAAGATCAAGGTCAAAAAATCTCTGCCAAAAAAAAAAAAAATAACATGGCTTATGTTCTTTTTAATTTTTATAGATGAAAGGACAAAGTCAGAAAACTCTTTGTGTGTAATCCTCGTCCAGGTTTTACTTCTTCTCCCCTTGTCTCTACCTGGATCAAATATCAAGTTTTTTTAGTTTTAGGTTGGTGGTCAAGTTTATAACAAAACTCTGTAAATACATTTCTTGATCATTTTCCTCCCATCCAAGTAAAAAATAACTACAAGTGTCTAGTGATTTTTAAGGCCTTAATCTATTACAAAATACATGACTGTCTTCATAATTTTGAGTACGCAAAAAGGAACTAAATTATATTTGAAAACTACTCAGATGGATCCTAACCTGACTTGTTTCAGGTGGGTAGACATACCCCTCAGAGACTAAGTTATAATTACCATACATGGACCTGTACAAAATTGGACTAGGCAGGAATAAATCACCATTCATTATCTTAATTAAAATAACAAGAAACACACTAGAGGTGTTATAAAATCGATAAATCAAAGAGTTAATTTCTCATGTAAATTATGTTACATGTATATTGTGTATGTTGCTTTTTTTCCCTCGTGTCGATTCATAAATCGACTATTGTCCCACCCTTTCCTCAGTACCAAATTTCATGGAAAAGTTATCCAACATATATACTTATCCTGCGCATCCCAAAATTTAGGAAGGGCCATGTATTGATTATTTTCTTGGGCAAGTACTCCAGGGTCATCCCTAACCCCACCATAACCCTCCTTCAGACTTAGCTCACCTGAGCTAAAGACTCAAGTAAGCTTTTCTGATCAAAATCTCTGTCATCGTTGTTGTCTTTGTCGTACAGTTTTTACAATATCGTCTCCTTCTCAAGAACTGCTGGACTAATTTAAACAAAACTGCCTCGAAGTATCCTTGGGTAAAGAAGATTAAAGTTTGTTCAAAGAAAGGGTCAATCCCACTTTAAGAAGGGATAAGAATGACTGAAAATTTTCAAAAAAAAATTCTCCTCAAAAACTACCGAGTCAGAAAACTTTAAACTTATATGTACAAGCTTCATTACGTTGTGTAAATTCATTTTGTCCAAATCATGACCCCTAGAAGTAGGGTGAGGCCAAAAGAGACGATCAAAGTTTTACAAGGGAATGCATAGGGAAACTCTATTGTACATCTACAGGACACCACCAATCATCTTCCAAACACGATTAGGCTACTGCATTAACTGTAAGAGGAGTTCTGGGAACCAGGGTCTTTTTGTATTTAAAAAACGTCATTTTTCGATCCCCATGTGACCCCCAGGGTGAAAATGAAAATTCTGAAGCCTTATTGCACATCTACAGGACACCACCAATTATCTTCCAAAGATGATTAGGCTGGTGTGTAAAATGTAAGAGGAGTTCTGGGAACCACGGGCTTTTTGTATAAAAAAAATATCATTTTCGACCCTTATTTGACCCTCAAGGTGAAGATAAAAATTCCGAATATAAAAGAAGAGTTTAAGGAAAAAGAAAGTGTGACAGACGGACGGACGGATCAGGGTAACAACAATATAACCCGAACATTCTTTTGAAAGTGCGGGTATAAATATATAGGAACTTTTCTTTAACTTTAAAGAAAGTTCAGGTATTTTGTTTTAATCTCAGTCCGTTCATTCGTCCGACTCTCACAATCATCTGCCAAAACCTTCCTTTTGTTCTCATTTCATCGATGTGTCTCCCAACTGATTTGATACGCAAAGCGTGCTCTTAGTACGATAAATTTTTAAACAATACATAGGACTCACGGCACGTTTGCCCGGTCGACAGGGGATACTTGCTCTTCCTGGGTGTCTGATTCCACCAAGGTCCGTTTTTTTTTTTTTTTTTCCCTGTTTACAAACTTGTTTGTGTACTGGATGTATGAGTTTAATCTTTGTTTGTTTACTTACCTTTCACATCTAAGCAGTTGTTGGAATATGATTAATATTGGTGGTGTCCTGTAGATATGCAGTACGGTTTTTTTTTTCATCTTTATTCAGGAGGCAAAATTGGGGTTTTAAAAACATTTCTATTACTCATTTCACATTTATCTGTAGCTAAATTTTATTTTAGAATATGATTGCCTGTGTCCCATAGATACTTTTTATGCAACTAGGTTTTGTTGTTTCATTTTAATGGATTTTCCATTTTATTTTCATATTAAAGAATCTTTTCACTCGTACTAAACGTACGCAAACTGTGAATAGCTTTTACTCGGCACTGAAGACAATTGCGCAATTTTTTTTAACTTGCCAACGCCTACTGTTAAAAGGAATATATGGTTTGTATTTTGGTTTTTTGTTTCGTTTTGTATTGTTTTTGGTTTGTTTGTTTGTTTTTGTTTTTTTGTTGTTGTTGTTGTTGTTTTGTTTGTTTGTTTGTTTGTTTTTTGTTTTTTTTTTTTGTTTTTTTTTTTTTTTTGCGAAAGATATGATTTAATCTATGTATAACGTTTAAAGTTTGACGCGCGCCGGGAAGGAGATTTGAACCAAAACTTTCTGATAACAAAAACAGCGGGCTTTTCTTTCGTATTTACCACTAGTACCGTTATCAGTTTTTGTCATCTTTTGAATTTAGAATTATTTATTTATTCATCTTTTTGCATAGAGGTTCAAATATATTTGTATTTTGACTTTTAAGACTTGTTTGTGATATTAGAGTGGGGAATTGAAACAAAAAAATCAGCATTGCCGAAATATTCATTACGCAAAACTATTATGGCTGATATCATTTCATCAGAAAATGTATATTGTGTGAATAATATTTAAAACATATGTTTTATTATTTATTAGTTGTTCTATAGAGACAATTTCCATTCAATTTCCGACAGGTGTTGCTGTTGATATCGATGAAAGAGAAACGTTTTATCAGTGTCAGAAATGTAACCAGACTGGCTGTGAATATATTGATTGTTTCAAAAAGCTGAATTATCTAATTTGTGAAAAGGTATTGCAAATGATAAAAATTGTATTTCAGAACATTTATTTTGAATTTATGCTTTCCTTATTAATATGAAACCATAATTAACTTACTTTTACATTTCAATGCAAACACACGAACAAAACTTTGATGAAAATGTATGTTCCTTTTTTTTCTTCCATTTTTTTAAAATTTTTAGATACATTTTTAGTTATGAGCAACATATGATTTTAACTAAAGTTTAACTAAACATTAGTATGCAGTGTGTGTCAGTTTAACGTGAACTACATTTAGTCATGGTTTTATTAATTTATTATATCATTTGATAAAGTCTTTTTTTTTTCCTCCAGGAATCGGGTATTGAAATACCTCAAAATAGAATGACATGTAAGCTGCCATATACAGTCTCTGATCTATTTGTTTGTCAATTACTTTTACTTCCTATTTGAAAATTATTATATTTAGGCTGCAAAAGACAACTGCAACCTTTTGTTTAATGTAATATATAAATGCAATACACGCCTCATTTTTTTTTTTTTTTTTTTTTTTTTTTTTTTTGAATTAGATTCAAATATAAATTTCCGTACCATCATTCCTTTATCCTTGGTCGCAGTCATTCTTTTCGGCTGTTTAGTAATGGGAATGGTTTGCTATAAACGGTTTGTACCAATTTTTAGTTTTTTTAACACCATGTATGTATTTTGTTCAGAGCAAACACTTCACATATCGGAAATAAATTGTTGCACCAAGGTTTACAAATTAGAACGCTTTATAATTTGTGATTAATACTTTTTGCGTGTTTTAAAGCCGGAGGTCAAATCAAGAGAACAAGAAGACGGCACCAAATCTTGCGAATCTCAATGAAAATTTTTATGCAAATGAAGCTCATGCCCTGGACATGTATCATGCAAAAATTCAGGAAAACTTTTATGATAACTATCAGGAGTCTTTTGATAGAGTATATGACCATCTGAGAGATATTGAGACAAGGACACACAAACCAGAGAACTTTTATGACCATGCTACAGTTGTTGCAGAGCAGGAATACGCGTACGGAGGCTATAAACTCCGTTTTGAAGGAAAACAACAACAGTTAGAGGAGAGTACTTATGACCATACTGCGTCTATTTCTGATTCTAGATAAAATAATGAAGTAGTGAATGGAATAGACGACAATTATACTCGAGTCCATTACAAGACCTCAGCTGTACACTGCATAAAATAAAAACATAAATACAACTACTTTGTATATTATGAATGTAACATTTCTGTATAGCTGTTATTTTTAAATATTCTTTTACTCGCTTGATGGGTTACATTACAGATATTATCTGTGGGTCTCTTATTTCTGAAATTTACCCAATAAGGAAATATTGAATATTTTCTATATAAATTTATTAGAATTAAAAAATAGTTAAACAATTATAAATTTATCTTAATGTGGGCAAATATAAACACAGTGACATGAAGAAGTTTTTGATGAGTATTTAACTTAAGGAAACTTTACCCAATGAAAGTATACCCAAGAAAAGTGATAGGGACCCAAAAGCACCGGGTATAAAATGGCCTCAGACTTCCCAAACCTTAAATCGATAGCACAGTATGTAATAATAAGATAATACATATCCACAGCATAATCACTCTGAAAACTGCAGCTCCTTGCTTAGTACTGGGATTGTATTAAATAACAAAAGTCTGGTGGAGATGCAGTCACAAAGTTTTGATTAGCAAATAGGGCGGGAGGGCAGGGAAATCCTTAGAATTAACGCAATTGAGAATGTATACCCGTCTCGTATTATTCGTATACTTAAGATTCGCCCCTCTTCTTGAATGATAATTAGTGCTGCGCTTATCACGTGATTTCGCTGAGGGTAAATACATATCCTCAGCATAATCACTCTGAATACTGCAGCTCCTTGCTTAGTACTGGGATTGTATTAAGTAACACAAGTCGAGTCCCTTGCAACAAATTGTTTATTGTTCACAAAACAATAACCGTATACCTCTTCTTCCCTACACTCTTAAAAAGAAGAACACAAAAGTGATCTGATTCGATATATAGGATCACAGAATAGGTCGTAGTTGTGAAAACTCACAGTTGTCACTGAAAGTAGTTTCCGCCTTGTGGATCCTGGACGCTTCCGCTAAAGTAGAAGCCGTTTCAGTAGCATCTCTTATTCTCGTTGCCCTGCTATAGTAGTCTGCTGTTTTTGAGTCAGACCATCCGACATGAGACTTTAATTGTTGACAATCAGCATCTGATAATGCTAGTGTCACTGCACATCCTGCTCGTAGACTGTGCGGAGTTTCTCCTTCATCTAAGCCAAAATTCTAAGGTAAGTTTTAAGCCTTTCATAGATGGATGAGTAAGAAAGAGGTGTATTCACCACAATGCCATTTTCTGTGACAGTCCGGAACAGGTAACCAGTTTCCAAATCAATTCCTAAAGATCTCGATCCTGAAAGGTAGCTTTCTAAACTAGCAATTGGGCACGTTAGACTGTCTGAAAATCTCTTTATCACAAAAGTGTTTGTCTTCCCATCACCTCCCCTTAATGCTTTCCCTAAAGTATACCTTATCATAAATCTCGAATTATCGGATAAAGATTTTACATCTTGAGTCAGAAAATTCGACATATCGGAGGCTCTATCACCCGGAAAAAATTGTAGCTTGAACATCGCTTGGTGTCTAAGCAGGGTATATTTTTTTCCCGGAGAGTTAACAGACAATCAAATGAGTCGAGGCGATTCTGTAAGCCGCAATAGAAATTAATTTCCGAATAAACATAGGTTTGGCTTGCTTGGGTAGAACTCTGGCCTTTGCTTTCTCTTCTTTCACAATTTTCAAGTGCTGTTTTATAAGCATTGAACATGCCGCATTGCCTTCCTGAGTCGCTTCGTCCCATGATGCACTTTTACCCTCGGACGTTATAATATTTTTCAAATTTGTAATCAGGCCTGCAAGAGTATTCGATGATAAGCCTTTTCTACAAGCGCATGGCTGTTCTCCGATGTTACCTATGAATTTGCAGTCAAATGAATGTACTTGCGTTTTACATGATACGTCGCACCACACAAGGAAACGACGCAAATCTGTTGGGGTCACGTTCCGAATTTTAGGTCGATGTGGAAGTTTAGAAAGAAATAATTCTAATTTCTCACGCAGTCTTGTACATTTCTTATACGCGGTAGAGTTCATCATTTTCTGATTCAGTTCATTTATCCTTTCATCGATGAAAGTCAAGTCGATAATATCAATGCCTCCAGCATTCTGTAAAGAAAAATTTTTCAGTGTTTAGTCAAATGATAAACGGTATGCCACTAGTTTCCATTTTAATCCATTATTGTCCACAATATATCCTTTCTTACTCGGGAAGCATAGGATGCCCCGCTCACCCTTTTCACCAATAGTTAATGAGCTCACACAATTTTGGTTCAGAAACCGTTGCCAAACGGGAATAGGGCTAAATATTGGTGCAATAAATCTACATTTCTTAACCTTTTGCTCATGTAAGTGTTTCAAAACAGGGAATATCAATGCAAATGGGGGAAAGACATATGGGTTACGTTCCAGAGATAGATCTTGAGCAAAGACATTTACTCCCGATGACGACGGTGTTTTGTATTTAGAAAAGTCTTTTAAGGGAACACCCTCAATAGAATGATGCACATTGGACTCGGAAGGCATCAGATCAACGGAATGAGGACCAAAAATGCTCTCCACCTTGTGTGAAGGAGGACCACTTAGAGTTGTTTCCATCATGTCAACATCCCTGGACGGTTGATCAGCCGGATTTATCACAGATGGTATATACTGCATTTGCAAATCGATATTCTTTCCAAATACTAGTTGAAAAATTTGTTTCATAATTTTATTCAAATGCCTGTCTTTACCTCCTTGATTTTGCCACGCAAACTTGACCGCTTGGTTGTCAGTAAGGAGATCCACACGATGGTCCCGAATTTCCGCTCCGAGAGACAGTAATGCTTTCAAAACCGCTTCTTCTTCCTTAAGATGGATGGGCCTAGTGTCATCCTTGCGCCAATAATCACCAAACGAGGTTCCTTTGTTTTCTCCCGACAACAGGGATACGCCATAACGGTAGGAGGAAGCATCTGTAGCAAGGTGAAGTTGATAGTGACACTCTGGTCTTAATGCTTTCACTTAAAGTGACACTCTGGTCTTTTACGTGACCCTGCCACTTGTCAAGAAATCTCCAATGTTCTATTTCCTCACGCAGTTCTTGTGAAATTTAGATAAATTTACTATTTTTTTTTTTTTTTTTTTTGGCAAAGGGAAATTGCTCTATTTATTTCGCGAGTATACATTCATTATATACATTCATACATGCATTAAAATGCATTTCCCTGCAAATCTCTGGAGTGTGGTTAGATCAGTTATTTGTAAGAGGAGAATACTTTCTCCTAAAATTTTGAATTTTTCTTTCTTCTCCGTTGGCAAGATATATGCTTGTCTCGCTGAATCAATAACAAACCCCAAATATTTGACGCTAGTTGACGGGTTTAGCTGGCACTTTTTTAGTGCCAGAGTATATCCGAGTCTTGTAAGGATCTGAAGAATGATGTAGACTTGTTCATGGGGCCTCTGGCCTTGTCTTGAACACGATAAGAAGGCAAAGAAATAACAAGACGGTCGTCAATATATTGAATGTTATCAATGCTCAAACGCCTAAGATATGTTGTGATTTGCATTCCAATTGTCTGATAAATAAATGGAGATGTCTTCCACCCAAAGGGAAGGGTAGTATATGTAAACAACCATCCTCCAAACTGTAATCCAAAAAAAAGTCTGAGATGCGTAAGCTAGAGAAACATGATCATATCCTGATTTTTCCTCACAACATATCATGTTAGCATTTAAACCAACCACGCGATGAACATCTTTAAGAGTTTCCAGCTTGAGGGGTGTGTCTTTCATCCACAGATTAAGATAACGTTCGTCATGACAAAGGCGGGGTTTTGTACATGTAGGTTCTACAAGGAGGGGCATAATAACCTGCGGCATTTCATATTCTCCGAGTTTCTCTAACAAGCACAGTGAACCATTTCTTAATCTCTCTTGATAAAATCAATAAAGTTTTTACACGCATGGGCATTAATAAAATGTCGCTTAATTAGGAAACCTGAATCATACGCATATCCCTTAAAATTCCCTTTAAAATGTTGGAAAAAATCGCTGACGTCGATTTTATTTCGAATCCAATTTTCTATATGTAATTTGTCATTTGTATCATTTGCTTCTAAAATTGTCTGCCAATTATCAAGATAATTATGTAACTGACCAGCTACAAATTACTCGAGATCTCGTATAGGTAGTTGTGAGTTCAAGTGAACGGGGCATCCAACACGAGCTACATCTTCTGCGGAAGGAAAAACTGTGTCTTGAGGCATGTTTCCCACAGAAGTTATCCATACGGGATCATGCCGTACCTGTCTTACTATCGCTGCTGCGTCAAATTCAATAGTCTGTTCCCATGCAGGCAGCTGTCCAGTCGACCTTAATTCAACCATTACATTCTGAAAGTAGGTACGACACAGAATTCAGCATGAACCATTAGGACAAGTTCGGAGGAAACAAGGCCCCGGCCAAGTCACAGTCCGCGTGATTCACTCACTAGAGAATTAGTGTCTCCGGATTGATCATAGGAACCTTCCAAATAATGATATACATGTTTATCAGGTAGCCAGTCTTTATTTTCCTTTATTTGGATTCCATCATTTATGTAGTTTATTGAAACAAAAGTTAATACACATAAACACTATACTAATCCAGTACAAGTTCAAGCAAAGTAAAACCATACTTAATTTGGCCTAACTAAGTCAAAAACAGATAGCTGATATTAAAAGTCACTTGCTACCGAACTGTAAGCTCTGCCAAACTTCTTGTAAATAAGTACTTAACATGTTTTCTGAAATAAATTGAATAAGTTTCGCTCATTTACCAAGTGTTGTTAAGCAACTCATGTTTAATTCAACGGAATTGTACACTTTATTTCTGTTGTTTCATAGCTTTCAGTTTTGCGCAGTCCTTTATCAGGTGCCCCATTCCATCACAGAACAGACACGGTCCAAGCTGTCTGGGTGAGGTAATAGTAGATTGCTGTCTCCGCCCATTGGATGGTCT